GAAATAGCAATGTTATGTTTAGTTATTAATATCGTCAAACGATCTCTATTAATTTATTGATTTGGTCAAGCTATATCGAGACATGGTCAACAAACAGAGTTGAATATCATGAAACGACACCATTTCACGAAATGATAGACTACTTTATAATATATGATCATTTCTACGATCTGGCCACGACATATATAAAAATCTCTGATCGAATTATAAGAATAATGAAAATTTTGCGATAATTGCAGGCAGACCAGTTTTAATCAGTTTACATGTAGATTAGTAATTGAACCAAAAACCATATTAATTTTCCGTAGACAAAGAATCTACTGTCTACGTCAATTTTCAAACGTTTGATAGACGTCACAATTATATATTACTAGATGGCGAGGCAGACGTTGTTCTGCCCATACCGAGGACCCTTTATCCTATTAAAAAATTCGCAGTAAAAAAAATATTGAGGTCACTTATCGGGATAGAAAACTATCCTATCTTTCAAGTTGGACCGAACTGCACACTGTGTGCAAAATTTTATTGAAATCAGTTCAGTAGTTTAGGAGTTCATCGCGGACAAACAACGTGACACGTAATTTTTATATATAAAGATTACACTTTTAAAACGAATAACAAAAAAAAACTAAAAAAATGAACGTTAGGATTTTAAATGATTTTATAAATCGAATTATTTAAACACATGAATTTAAGTTATTTATATTATTTAATTTATTAGTAACTGTGGGCAAAATATACTTCTTTTTCCATTTGATGATAGATAGCGCTGTATTGATAATTAAAAGGTAGATTGTGGACGGAGTTTCAAATTGTTATGCAAGAGTTAAAACCACAGACATATACAGAGTAGCAGACCAAATATTAATGGATAGAGGTGGGCATAATTCTTTATCGTTTTTTTGCTAAGCGACAAGTCGTAAATAGTATATTGTTCTGTCACTTATTGTCATACTGACACACAAAATTTGATGCGTTGCTTGTCCATCCCGCGGTGCCATATTGATAAGGAATATCTGCAACATAACCTGGGCCAGGGCCAAGGTTATGTTGCAGATATCCCGAATTCATGGGAGGCAGCTTTCGTTTACCCGATCCCTAAAAAAGCGACTGCTCAGACCAGTCTAACTACAAGCCTATTTCCATCACTTATTTGTTCTCCGATATAATGGAATCCAATATAAACTGCCAGCTCATGCGGTACCTTGAGGATCACCAGCTGATGCTAATACCAGTGACTGCTAATAAGATTTTCGTAGGGGTCGATCAGCTGGTAATCTTCTTGTCTCATAGATCAGCGGAAGCAGTAGAGTTCAAGAGGGAGGCATTGACCCTTATTTTGGACATTACGAAGGCCTTCGATTGGGTTTGGCACAAAGCGCTTCTTTCGAATCACTTTTCCCGAGAAATTGTGCAATTGGATCACCAGCTTTCTTGCAGATCGGAACACCGTAATAGACGGTGCATGCTCCGATTACGAGGCTGCGTGCTATCACCAAAGCTGTTTCTTTTGCATATCAATGATATTATATTGCTAATCAGTAACATTCATTGCTATGACAGCACTGGTGATGCTCTATACACCGGTCGTGCCAATATTTCTCGGGAAAACGTCAACGGGTACCAGAACAAACTTGCGTCTGAAGTCCAGTCTTTCCTTAACAATGTCTCGGATTGAGGGCAACTAAATCTAGTCAAGTTAATCTCCAGAAGACACAAGTTTGCTCGTTTACCGCTAAAAGAACCCCTTTGTCGTATCTCCTCAGTTGTAAGGCACTCCCCTTGTTGCCTCAGCCAGTATGGGGATCCTCGGCGTCGACATATCGAATGATGTGCAGTTTCGTGTTCACTTGGAAGAGAAGACCAACTTACTCTCTCTAAACCTCTAAAAACCTTGGCGTGCTCAACAGAGACGGGACAGTATTCCATGCCGGCACACCGCCTGCAACTTTACAAGGCGCAGGTTCGGCCTCACATGGAATAATGTTCCCATATCTGGGCTGAGGCTCCCCAGTATCAGCTCCTTCCACTTGACCGCATCCAGCGCAGAGCGGCTCGAATCGTCGACGACCGAGTCCTCTCCGATCGACTCGATTCACTGGTGCTGCGAAGAAATGTTGCATCCATTTTCTTTGGCATCTACCACGGGGAGTGCTCTGAGGAAATGTTCGAATTAATCCCAGACGCCAAATTTCAAGAACGCACATCGCGGCAAAACTCCTAATACCATCAATACCCTCAGGATGCTTGGCGGTCCACCACTGTACATATCACTAGGAGTTTTCTTCCTCGTACCTCGTACGTTTACCACCAGCGATATTTCCGGACCGATACGTCTTAGGGACCTTCAAGAAAAGAGCTAACCCTATTCTAAAAGGCCGGCAACGCACCTGTAATTCCCCTGGTGTTGCAGTTGTTCATGGGTGGCAGTATTCACTTAACATCAGGAGAGACGTACGCTAGTTTGCCCCCTCTCCTATATAAAAAAAAACAATGACCCGTAATTGCAGATCTCTGAAGTTGCGTTCCATTTTCTACAATTTTCTACCTTTCAATACCAGGCTTACGCTGGTTCATTTTCTCACTCTACATATTATCGATTATACATTTGCATGTTACCCAAATCTGTCACAAAATTTTATAAACAAGTTGGAGCGCCTTCTAGTAACGTTTATGTAAGTATGACGACATATTTTCCTATCGTTTAAAGCTTAAATGGCTACCTGTACCTACCTGTACGTCCACAGCGATGTTCCAGAATTTTACTTGAGCTTTATTAAATTTTATACAATCGCCGCCACAAAGGTAACCTTTACCTTTGTGGCGGCGCTGTCGTCGCCCCACAAGCGAAACATATCGAAGCCTAAATCGTGCAAAGTTCCAAAGTTAAAGCAGTATATATAGAATAGCTCCGAACTACCACTAGGAGCGTTGGCCGCTGCACGGGTAGAACATCTTGCCCGGCGGGAGATCTCCCCTTTTCCTTCCACCGCTACATTGGTGACCACCCGACATGATATGAATACGCAACCAACAACCTTCGGAAACTACAACTTCAAACCTTCTTCATCATCCTCAAGTACCCCATTCATTTGTTCCCGAACTGATATTGTCTGCAGTCTTCACATACTGCAAGCCATCTAGCTTTACAAAGGTTCATCGCAGCACTGGAATAATAATTCTTCCTGTTCCTTCAAGCTACTCTATGCGCTACAGTGTTCGGCACGGCTCTGAGCCTTACTGCTCGCCTCTGCTCCACGGCACTCTCGCAGATTACTTGCCTTCTTCTCGACTCACCGCAGACTACAAGGCAATCCCTGGTACTTGCTCCGGCTCATCGTTCTCACCGGCATCACTTGCAAGAGCGTAGTATCATAGTATGGCATGCATTACACACCGGCATAACGTTCGCACCGTCGTCACTTGCCCTTACGCACACAGCATGCATTCCCCATCGGCATTAAGGACACACCGGCAATCGGACTGCACTATCGACCTCCGGTGTGAGCAGGGGGTGATGTGGCGGCGCTGTCGTCGCGCCACAAGCGAAATACATCGAGGTCTAAATCGCGCTAACAAAGTTCCGAAATTAAAGCAGTATATATAGAATAACTCCGAACTACCACTCGGAGCGTTGGCCGCTCCCCGGGCAGAACACCTTGCCCGGCGGGAGATCTCCCCTTTTCCTTCTACCCGCCACACCTTCTTATCATAAGGATAACTTCCATTTTCTTCATTCTATCGACGGTCGAACATCAAACCGTCTCAGGATTAGTATTCTATAGCACAGGTCTAATTTTTCACGGGTACATACTAATACATCTTTGGAATACCGTTCCCAATGATATTAAGAATGCAAAAAATAAAAACTCCTTAGTACTTCCACGACAACATTTCCTGAGGGCAATTACTAATAACTGATTGTTTTTCTTTTCACTTCAAATATTTATATGTACTATATTTTTAACATAATATGTACACTTTATATAAGTATTATGTTTCGCACCTGCCAACAATTGTATTTGGTATACAAGGTTGACCGACAGATAAATGCCACATGACATTAAGTCTGCCCTATATATTCTTTACTTTAAAAACTTTCCGTATTTGTACATAATACAATGTACATCAAATCATGCCAAGTCCGTGCTAAAATGGTATAGTTTCCTATCCATCTATTAGTTCCCGGCAGTGTAACCCTTGGATATACTTTACCGTATTTCTATGAAATCCCGGGCGTCAGTTTGAGCGAGATTAGAATGGCTCTCCAGCACCTTAAAAACGATAAGGTTTCGGGCGAGGATGGAATTACAAAGCAAGGAAAGCGGGTGGAAAACCGGTACTTGAAGTCCTTCAGAAGCTCTTCAATTCATGGTGGCACTACTCCGGAGGTGTGGAGCAGACGTGCAGTTGTCTTGTTCTTCAAGGAAGGGACAACGTTCTGTTAAAAAGAACCAGAGTAATCAACATAGCCCAACGGATTTGTAAGCTGAAGTGGCAATGGGGCGGGCTATATAGCGTGAAGAACCGATAACCGACAGGGAAGAAAGGTTCTCGAGTGGCAGCCTCGTACCGGCGGACGAAGTGTAGCCCCCCCACCCCCACCCCCACTAATCTAGCAGAAAGTCGATAGATGCAGGTGGCTTGTATTCCTACCGTGCTTTGTGGCAGACAATCCTTGGGGGAGGCCTATGTTCAGCATTGGACATGTGAAGGGCTGTAATGATAATGATAAAATAAACTACAGGCTAGATAAGTAAACTACAGGCAAGGTAAGTTCAACTCTGATCAAGAGGTCAATCAATGAATCCAACTCAGATACTAACTTTTACTTAAATGCAGTTTTCCATAGCAACTTGAAATTTTCAATTTTCGATTTTCAGCCAAAAATGCAGTTCATACCGATTTTTCTACTTCAATTTTTGGTCAGACTACTATATTTTATTCAGGTTAATAGCGCATAGTTAACAATTATTTTATTTTATCCTATTTTATTCCAGTGGTAAAAAAAATATGACAGACGGACATTCATCAAGAGTTTTTGCATGCTCCTTTAATCCCAGATCGAACCATGAGTTGATCTCTGGCGGCTGGGATGACGTAGTTATGTGCTGGGATGCCCGACAGCCGTACGCGACACGGTATTTTTTTGGCGTGCATTTGTGTGGTGAAGGATTAGACTTTGACAAACCAGGCAAGCAGGTGCTTTTATGCAATTGTACTTTGTACGAAATATTTTCAAAGTATGCGTGCCGCATGAATCTGTGACCACTAATTTAGAATTGTGAATGTCTTGAATATAAGTATCAGGATAAATTTCGCTTTACTCTAGAATTTAGCTATCTATATCGACAATGATATGCAGTGCCAAGCTAATGTCTTTCACTGCTATCGGCAATCCACATAATAAGAGTGGTTATTAAGTTAATTTCTCCTTGGTTAAGAAAAACATTGTAAAGCAGTGGATCATTCAAGGATTAAGGATTCACAGTGTTATTACTACATAATATGCTATAAATAGTTATAATTACATTGGAGTCTTTAAATAATAACAGAGTATATCCCTTGCTGTATTCTGCTTTGCAGAATAAATAAATAGATATTGCTACATATACTAGGTAAGAATGGCATATCATTATTATTTTTACTATAGTCTTTGCGTTATAGCATGGTGTTGGTGCGGATGACAGCTTACAGTTTCGGCGTTTCTAGAGATGCACAATGTTAAATCGATTTAAAAAAGGCGATTAACGATACACAAATCAAAGCAAAAATTAGCGATTAGCTATCAATATAAAAATTAAAACCGAAACATATATATTTTTATAAACTACTATGCATGTAAAATTAAGTTAAAGTTTAATACAAATTATGACATAATAGTTACATAGTAGCTGTTCCCGGACTTCGCCTGCTTGGTATTTATTACGATAAAATTTCATGGTTTTTAATTCTTTTGCACGGAATCTTGATTCTTTTTCTAAAATAAAATTATGCTGTGTTACTCCTTATAACATCAGCTATCTGCCAGTGCCCGCTATAAGCCGGAACAAACAGACAGACAGGCGAACATTTTAAAAATTGTTTTTGTCTTTTTTTATAAATACCGTATATACTTTCATATGTATTTAGTAAAAGGCTGTTATTTTGATATTACATACAGACACTTTAATGTATAGATTATACTATGTATTAATTTGAAAATAAAAATCATCTTCTATTTCATGTTGATTGCAACATTCATTGACATTTTAACAAATAAAATGGTTGCCAGCATCCGTAATTTTCAGTATGGCATTGACGGCAGCTTTTCAAGGTACGAGTGCTGGCGCCTTTCTCTATATGAGAATTAGTATTGCCAGGTCCAATGGGCCAAATATCGGGATGGAAGGTACAAATAAACTAATGGTAAATCCAATTGTGCATGTCCTAAGCACATTAAAAAAAATTACGTATAACATGATTATACGTAAATTTTTTGAAGTAGTTTAAATATACACAAGTTTTCACTAATAACCTTATTATACTTCCAATTTCTCAATAATTTTAGGTCAAACTTCAATTAAAAAAAAGTTGGAATATCAAAAAATGCATGACTCATAACACTCATATGATCATTATATCATCATTCAGGTCACTCCATAAAGTCCAAGACGTATTTAAGTATAAATATACTTAAATATATACATCGTACTTACTTTTAATATGTAGTACTATTATTTATTCTTTGCTTTTAAAATATTGTAATAAAATTCTGTGATTATTATATTAATAATCAAGTAGGTATCAATTTTGGATTTTCGGATATTTTGTATTTGTACAGCTATCTTTTTGCACCGCTGCAAGCCACCGACACAGTATCCACTCACAACGGCAGCTGAGGCCGAAGAGAGTGAGGCAGCCGCAGTCTATTTAGTAAAATAAATTATTACAAGGCACTTTATTTATTATTATTACACTGAAAATTTCGGGATTTATATGCCAAAAAAAAATTAATTATAACTAAACAATAGAAAATTAAACTGCCATTTACCTTCCATGGCTTTCAACATGATAGATGAAGAGATTAAAAAATAGATTGAGTTAACCAATTGATATTTTCAAAAGTTATCGTGTTTACCACTCCATACGGACTTGATTAATCTACACCATAAGCCTGGTGGCTTATGGTGTAGATTAATCAAGTCCGCCAACCACTTTTTTATGTAAAAATAGCAATTATTCCAAAAAAAAAAATAAGTTCACCAATCATTTATCTTTCTGACAATATACTTTTCATATAATTTATTAGTTCAATATGATTTTTAGATACAATTTTATGCGATAAAAGTTGGAATCTTGATTTTTAGGCGGTAGTAGAACATACCTACGCGCTTTGCGCTTAAGGCATGCAATAATAGTAGTGTAGTTGTACCACTTCTAGACCACCTGAGTCAGACGTGGTTCAACGACGTTCGTCGACGCCCGATCCTAAAAAAAAAAAAAAAAAAAGTTTTGGCATGCTCTGATCACGAATCCGCGGTCCATTTTTGTGTAGAATGCACGGTTCCGGAGATGTGTAGATCAATTAGCTAATATCTAATTGATATCCGGTAAGGGCCTCCACCGTCATTAGCGTCCCATTGTTCCTATTTCTATTGTTCTATTGTTCATTAATCACCCTCATTGCAGCGTGTGCGTCGACTATATCAGTGCTATTGTGTTATAGTTCTTTGTTTATACAACGCTCATCTGAATCATCAATAAAACACATTACATAATTTTGTTACAATTTTTATTTATAAAATACAAAATCTTATTAATTATTATCTATAAAATAGGAGCGAAACATCTCATCCACTAAAATATCGTTGTACAATGTGTTCCTTGTAAATATACTCGTAAAACTATGTATTGAACATCCTTGAAACTTATATAGTAAATACATTAAGCAATATTCGCCACAAACTGAAGTCCACTCATTCTGAATCCTATCAACATTCCAGTTCCATCTTTTACAATTCCTTTTTAAAAACTCTAGATGATATCGTACAGGTGATCGTCCATATGAATCAAAATATTGACCGACGTCATTCGTATCGATATATAAAGCTACCCAATGTGACCCTGGTTTATCATCTGTATCCAAATTACATATTATATACGTTGGTACGTGGGTATACATAGGCAGTCTATTAGCTGCATAAACATTATTTTCTAGACTGGGGTGAATCTTTTTCAGATGTTGTTGTACATCTAGTGTATCCATGATATTACTGCTATTAGTAGATTATTACAGTACCTAGCTACTCAATGAATAACATAGGAATGGTCAATTATAGTGATTTCTACATATTAAATTGCATTTTTGTGATATACAAATCGTACTTGAGTCATTGATCACCAAACAAAACACAATACGAAGAAATGTTGAGATAGGCAACGGAAATGTGAGATAAACTGATATGTTTCTAAATATTAAATTGCATTTTTGTGTTATACAAATCGTACTTGAGTCATTGATCACCAAACAAAACACAATACGAAGAAATGTTGAGATAGGCAACGGAAATGTGAGATAAACTGGTTGACGCATAAAGTAATTATCAACTCATTACGGAAATACTTTAGATTAGAATTTTTTACGTACTGGTGGTATATAAGACCAACAAACGCAGTCATCGAGTTAGTGTACGGTCGTTTGGCTACAGTGGATCTATCAATAGTACATTTGTGTTACTTCAATACACCAAAGGCTATGGATGTAAGTGTTTATTCTATTGACTAAATTACTTTTTTTCTGTTATTTTCATGTGTGTGTGTATTATTTTATTTAAATATTGTGTATGTATATGATTAAGCCGTGGTAACTCAGATGGTTAGCGCTAGCTGTAAATTTCACAGTACGCGACCCGGGTTCGATCCCCGCCAGCACCAATTAAATTGTTAATAGCAATTTTAAGTGCTTATTACCACGTGCTTGGTGGTGAAGGAAAACATCGTGAGGAAACCTGCATGTCTGAGAAAATTTCGAAGGCATGTGAAGTTCACCAACACACATTGAGGGAGCGCGGCTGACATTTCCTTGCTCTAAAACCCTCTCAGAAATGAGAGGAGGCCTATGTTCAGCAGTGGACTTTAATAGGCTGTAACTTTAACTTTTTTAACTTTTATGATTAAGTGTTAACAAATTGATATTAACATGATAACTGTGTTGTTGCAGAAATCATTGAGCTTCGATGAAGATACCTATAAACAGTATTACTACTCGCCACTCTCCCCTCAAGAAGAGAGTGATAACCTCGTCATTAATAATAACACATGCGATGGTGGAAAAAGAAAATCGCAATCGATTGATCATTTTTTTGAAGCTGAATCAAAAATAAAAAAGAGGAAGGGAAAACTTCAGTGAAGTGTGCACCAGTGCTTTTTTCTCCACAATCATGGAAGAGAATACGGAACTATTCAATAGCGAATTAAATCAGGAGTTGTCTAAAGTTTGTGAAGAAATGGAGAGGGGTCAACTGTTCGATTCGTCATACGATGATGAGTTGTATCATCACTGTGCGATGGTTGAAACACAGTTTAAATATGTAAAATAAACATTCATTTCGATCATAATTTACATATTGTCTTATACAGTTTTTAATAAATTTAAACATTTTAGCAGTCAACCACTACAACTTGGAAGAGGAACGAAGCGAACGTGCAGCAAAGAATCCAAGATCATCAAAAAACCAACAACGGAAGCAGAAGCGCATACCTCTGCAGGGAACAGTATCAGTAACGATGATCAAGTGGAATGTCCAACGTGCCATATATTTATCAAGAAACGGTATTTAGCTAATCATTTTAAAAGTAATGTTCATAAAAATAATCTTTTAAATTCACATAATTCTTTATCAAACGTTAGTGTTATTGAATCTGCTTTTGGAAATAGGATTTTAACTTATAAAATCAAGAGTAGAGTAGATCGTTCGACATGGGTAAATTTTGAAACTCCTGAACTATTTTTAAATTCTATTAAAGATGATATTTTATTTTTATTACAAGAGTGTATTCATCAACACATAATTTTTAAGGTAAACTTCATATTGCATGCTGATTTTGTTCAACAAACTAAAGATATTCATGATACGTTCGATTTTCAAACGCTTAACTATATTATTTGTCAAGGAGATGACTTAAATATTTTTCTTTCATCTTTAAATGATACAATTACT